ATCCAGCCCTGGGTGATGCCCCATGGCCTGGGCTGCTGCTCATCCTTCCCCCCAGTCCCCATGGCACTGGGAGCTCTCCACACATCCCAAAATCCACCTGATCCAGTCTGTATGTGCCCAGTTCAGCTTCAGGGATACCACTGGAAACAGTGCCAAAGGCAAAGTAAACAATCTCCACTCCTCTCCACCACAGGGCCAACCATTTCATCTTAGAAAGCCACAAGAATAGTTGGGCACAATTTGCTCTTGGTAAATCCTTGCTGGATTTTCCCCACCACCTCTTTCAGATGCCGCTTCCAGGGGGATTTGCTCCATAACCTTCCCTGTAAAGGTTCCGGCCCCATCTGAGCTTTGTCTTTCCCAGTTCCATCCTGCACATCCAGGCAATATCCCTCATTTCTCTGCCTTTAGTTTCAAATTCTGTGTACTTTCTTTTTGTGTTTGAGCCCAGTTAGGAGCTCCTTCTTTATCCCTGCTGGTCTCCTGGACACACGTGCTCCAATTCCTGCACTTTGGAGCAGACCATTCCTGTGCTTTGAGAAGACTGTCCTTCAGGAGCAAATGGTTTCCCTCTTGTTCATTCACACAGTCTCTCATGGGAACCTACCAAAAATATCCTGAACAAGCCAAAACCTCCAGTCTGGAAGTTCCAGGCTGTAATTCTCAGTTCCACCTCCACTCACCAGCCAGACACAGACAGCCTGCAACAAGGAATTCCAGCCTGCTCCTGAAACTCCCTCCCTTGCTCCCACCCCAACATACACCATGGTGAAAAACTCACACACAAACCAGGACCTGCAACCTGCAGTCGTGTTAAAGAAGCTCCACCTACTCCTTGCCCTCGATGGTCTCCAGCAGATACACACACATTTCCATTCCCTGATCCCTGTGGAAAAGCTCCAGGCTGGCTCATCACTCTCTCCAAGTTGAAAGTACACTGGAGTCAACCCTGGAGGGTGACCCTCTTCCTTGCTTCCCTGCCCCCTCCTTCCTAAAGAACCTTCATCCACCCCTTGGAGCTCTCCCAAGATGTCTCTGAGATCCCAAAGGCCTCACAGCATTGTAACTACTTAAAAACTTATAATTCCTCGTCCTAGTTTCCCATGCTGGAATGGTAAATCGCATGCAGGATACCCTTGCTTGTACAGAAGCCTTTGTTCATGAAAAAGTTTAAAGAAATGGGTAGTTCCACCACAAACAATCCTGACATGGTGTCCTACAGGACACCAGCAGCGTATCCGATTCACTCCTTGAGATCTCACTCCTGTACAAACTCTCAAAACCTCACAATATACAGGAAAAAAACCAACTTCTGTAGTATAAAAGTACAGAAACCCCACAACAAACCACACTTGAGAGTTCTGGAGGTGACACAGTGCATTCCAAATGATGTTTTGAAATTGTTCTCCACATAACTGGCATATTTGTTTACAGTCTATGATTTTCTTTACACAGCATTCAAGCATCACTCCTTTTTTTTTTCCTGAGTGCCTGAGTACTTGTCAGATGCCTTTCATGGGGGTGACAGGGAACCATCTGCCTCTCTCCCCATCCCTACTGCCACCTGTTCTTTTGCAGTCCCCAAAGGCAGTGCTGAGCAGTCCCAGATTCCTTGGATGGGGCCGGGTTACAGGGCCTGGCTCAGTGTCCCCTCGTGTCACCAGCACTTCACCTCCAGCAGGGAACCCCCAACACCTCCACCACAGAGGTTTTCACAGACCACACACAGTAATGCTGGGGTAATATGACAAGAAATAGCTTTGCTATAATGGAGTGAGCATTGGTGTACCTGGTCCATAACTGGGCTGGCCAATGAGGACTGGAAGCAAAAAAAAGCTGGTTTTGTGTAAAAAAGGGCGAGGAGAGATTTGAGGGTGCTGAGAAAGTTCTTCCTTCTCACTGGGATACGCTGAGTTCTCCATGGGGGCATCTGCAGGACATCAAATCACTCACCTCTCACTCCAAGAGGCAAAGAGAGGAGCAGAGACTGACAAAGTGCAGAGAACTTCCCTTCCTGGAGGGAGCTCTCAAACTCCCCCTAAAAAGCAGAGCCACAACTCCAGTGAGATTCCCAAAGGAACTGAGTGTCCAGGGGAAGGTCAGTGTCTGGGAAATAAGGACACAACTTCAAATCCCAAAATATTTGGAAAGCTCTTCATCTCCCTTGCAGAATTCTACACCTGAAGTTCAGTACAGGGGATAAAGAGGATTTAACTCAGACCACTGACCTGAATCCTCCTCCCTCCTCCCCTCCCAACCTTCTCAATTACAAAGACTTGTCCTAGAAATCTCTCCTCTCAATGCCACAATTCTTTTACGTATTCCTGAAAAAGCAAGAGTTGTGGACTCTGCACAGCCAGTCCATTTCCAAGTACAGTGTAAATTTATTAACAGAATTACCAAAGTTGAAAAGAAAAGCCCCTCCAATAAGCCTTTCAATTTAGCCAGTCAACTCTTTGTTCTGTATTTTCCACAAACAACTTTTGTATGTACTAAAAGCTTTTCAGAACTCAGTCCAAACCCAAAAAAGCCCAACCTAAAAGCAAGTTATGTCTGAACAAGGATTATATTAATCTTGTTGTAGCAGCTGAGAGTCACACACAGACTGGGCCGTGCCCAACACACACACACTGGGCACCAGGCAAATCACCAAACTCCTGCTCCCCGAATGCCAGAAATCTGCCCAAACACAGGAAACCTTTCCTGGTAGCAGGTAAATGCTTTTCCAGACTCCCTCGGGCTTCTCATTTCCATTTAACTCATTAGAGATCAACTTGATAAGCAAAGGGGCTACTGAGAAATAGTTTGTCAATAGGCAGAGTTTGCCAGCTCCAGTTGGGAAGGAGCAAACAGAACAGCAAGGGAAGGGATGCACTGCTAACTGGGAAGAACTTTTTTCACATTTAGTCAAGAGTTTTTCATGGCAATTACTTTTCAAATTGATGAAGTTGGTATTTCTCATCACTAGGTATGAAATAAATTTAAAAAAAGCTTTCTGAATTAATGACTGAAATGTTCAGAATAGTTTTTGCTCAAATTAGTGTTTTGAATTTTCATACCAAGGTTGCTGTCATGAAAGAACTCCTACATGTGATACCTTCTCCCTCGTTCCCTGAACACTTTCCTTCTTCGCTGTTCATATACTGTGAGAAGGTATTAAAATATCTGTATTTTCTTCTACTGGAAATGCCAGTTTTCATGTATCACAGCTGAGACACGGCACATTCATTCCTCATTGCACTCCTTTTTATGCCACCACTCCACAGCACAACTCCAAGTACTTTCACAGCTGTCCCATGTGGTTTTCCCAGTGCTGGAGAACAACACCCGAACCCCCTCAGTGTCCCAGGGGTGCATTTCTAAGGCACTGCAGGGCAGGGAGCAGAGCCATACAACTTCAGGGGTATCTTTACACCCAAAATGAGAGTCCACCACTGATCCACATCCTTTGGCAGCATGCAAAAGAGAAAGGACAGCATTATAAGGCAAAGCCCTTCAGGATGGCAGGACGAGCTGCCAGAGCAGGATAGGAAGGAGAAACCACCGGGCAAAGGGCAGCAGAGGGAAAGGAAGAGGAGAGACCACAGGAACTCCAGGAATAACAGTAATAGTCATTTATAAACCACTGCTGGGAACTGGGTGCAAGTACAAGCCTGGGCAGGGCTTCAAAACCCAAGGCCATTAATTATTCAGTATTTTTCAAACGTGGAAAATATGGAATAACGGTTCCGCTTGACAGACCTGGAAACCACTCAGGTGATTAACGCAGAGCAGAAATTAAATCACTTTTAATAATTTTTCTGGCAACCTGATGACAGTGGAGCAGTGCTGGATCTGGATGCCTAACCCTGCTCAGAGGCTGGAATCCCAAAGCTCCATGGCATTAAAGCTACTGAACCCAGGAGAGGGCACCTTGCATTCCCCAAATAATTGTGGGAAGTACCTGCAGCTCTTCAGCCAGCAATGAAACACACCCAGACCCAAACAGGAGTTCAGAAGGAGCTGTAAGAGCACAGCTACTCTACAAAACAATTAGAAAATAACTGGGAAATCTCTCCTTATGGCACACTCCTGACAGCTTATTCTCTGCACAAACCCAGGGATAGCAGACTCACACCTGTTCAAATTCCAAGTGTGAGGTTCCCTCAGTCCTCCAACCACACCTAAGACTGTTTCTCCTAAATCCTCTCCATCCAAATAAGAAATAAATTAGAATTTTAAAACCATCCCCTCCAAAGGCAACATAAAAGCCCCCCTAAACTATGGGTTTAATGTTTTCTTGTCTGACTCATCTTTCCTCTCATCCCTCTCACTCCCAGTTTTCTTCCTTGGGCTCTTAGAAATTATTTTTAAGAACTGTGTGACCTGAAAGAGCCAAACAAGCTGATGCCTTAGTAATGATATTTGTACTATCTTTCTTTTTGTCTTTAATCTTAATTACTCTCCTTCACCATCCCAACCATGCAGGGCACTGCAAGGTGAGCATTGGCAGTAACTCCACTGACTGGAGCACAATAATAAATATTTATCTTAAGCTGCAGCTGTAACTCAACAAATGTGCAGCTGTAGTTTGCAGAAATGACAAAGTCAAATATTTTTTACACTCAAAGCAGAAAAAAAGCTTCTAACACTGGAATGACTTTGATGTAAAATACTTGATTTGGGGTGAGCTCCATAAATGCTGCCTTTTCAGGTTTGTGATTTCAGGGTTTGTTTCATTTTGGCTATTCTGTTATTATTTTTAAATCTCAGCCTGCAGCCATATTTTAATGGTTTATAATTGCACCAAATATTTTCCAAAATACAGGGTGAATCCTACAGAATTCCTTAATTCCCCCTCAGTAACTTTAAGTGTACACAAGACGATGCTGAATCACTCACAGGATTTTAGACAATCATCCTGCTCTAGCTGAGTTACAAATATAACCCATCATGTGGAAAACGTCCCTTGGAATGTCCCTCCCCATCTTTTGGCTCTCTGTTGTCCCAGTTTATCTTACCAAGGTCAAGGATTATCAACTGGGCTCCAGCCTGTGCATTCCCAACATCATTTTCTGCAATGCACTGGTAGAATCCTTCATCAGACTTCACCAGACCCAAAACTTGCAGGTTATGTTCTTTCTGAGGAGCAAAGGGGAAAAAAAACAATGCTTAAAAAAAAGGGCTGCAATTGGCAAAACAATGGTGTCATTTGGGCACTTTTACTGTGACAGGAGGAACTTCCAACAGGAACAGGGTGTTTGGATTTCACCTCCTTTGCACTGAATCCTCAAGTTAGAGGGTATCCAAAGCAGCAGCAGTGTTCACTGGTGGCATCATTTTCAAGCATCACATTTCCCAGCCATTTTGGTGGTATTTTAAGCACTGACTGAAGTGCAGAGCTCCCTGTTACAACCCCACAACCCCAGGTACACCCAATTATACAGCCATTAAGTTCTCAACTAGGCCTCAGTAATGACTTGCACTACATCTAAAATTTCCTCTGGAAGTACCTGTGCACCAAAACTCACGATCCACAGCTCAGTTATATTTGTACTTCACCTCCTGCTTGAAATTGTAATTTTTATGGAGCACAGACAATGCAGAACCCACAGTCAGTGGTCGTGGTGAGCCTGTACTTGGACAGTGCCTTTCGGCACTCTGTCTGTCTCCTGTGGAAAACCTAAGCTATAAAGACATCAACTTATACAACATAAGCAACATGCATTAAAGGTTTCAACAAACCATTTCTCTTCCAGGCCCTAAACATCAAAAGGGCAAAAGCAGGAAGCAGTTCCTACAAAAGAACCCAGTTTTCATGAACAGACGTAGGAGAACTAACAGGTCAAGAGCTTAAAAAGCCACATAATGGACAATTTACTTACAACAATTTTGAAGTAGTCACTGGGGATCACCACGTCTCCGTTCTTGACCCACTTCACGGTGGGGGTGGGTTTCCCGGTCACCTCACACTCGAACACGATGTCCATGGACTCGTGAGCGTAGATGTTGGCAGGTCGCTTCAGGAACTCGGGGGGAACTGCAGGGAAAGGGCAAGATGGACAGAGGATGGTGTCAGCACCCAGAAAAACACACCTCACACACAGTCTGGCACACAGGGGTGGCTGTGGGGACTCCAGTAGCAAAGATTTGTAGCTCAGGGTTTGACAGACGCTGGTACAAACTCTGAGTTCTTTCACAATTGCATTTGGGCCAAGTTGGATGGGGCTTGGAGCAACCTGGTCTGGTGGGAGGTGTCCCTGCCCATGGCAGGGGGTTGGAATGAGATGAGCTTTGAGGTCCCTTCCAGCCCAAACCATCCAGCCAGTGGTCTGAATTTGGAATGGCCTCTTTGAGAATACAAGAAAGAAGAAATCAAACCAAGACGCATAAAGTGTAAAGTTAAACCTCAGGGAGTCCTCTGTTCTCAGTACTTAAGTCAACAGGAAAAAAAAAAGCTAAAATTATATTAAAAAAGACTTTTAAACATGAATGGACACAAAACTTAAGATGAAACTTTCCTCGGGCACCACTGCTCTGTGTTCCTGTGAAGAAATTCAGGTTATCAATCAGTTGGTGCTGCACTGATCCAAAGAGCTTCCTCTCTGGTGTGTGTAAGCCAAGGAGACTCCATGTCCAGGTGCATCCCTGTGCCTCTGGCCCACACTGACAACACCTCACAGACATCTGTGAGTGAAGCTGTGTATCTGGTAACAGCAGAACAGACGGGTCCTTCACTAACAACCTGCACCAAAGGTGGTGCCTCTGGGCCTTGGTTGCCTTTAACGTGTCCTTAAGTCCTCAGAATGAGAATAATTAAATTCAAGACTTTTGAAATCCATAAAAACTCAGAGATACAGAACTGTTTGGCAACACAAGCCCCAGGTGACCAATGCAGAGACATGACAAAGGCTGTCTGAACACACATGTGCCTCCAGGAACCCTCCACTCCTTCACTCAGCAGGCCCTTACTGTGTGAGCATCACCTGCCACGAAGAACACCCACCTATTTGTTTGTTTTCACCACACTTCCCGACACAAGGGCATTTGCTTCCTTGTGTTGGCAGCTCTGATGGCTGGAGTTCCAGGAAAGCCCAAAGCAGCCCTTTGCCCTTTAATATTTAGCAAAGAAAGTCAATATGGAAGGGCCACGGAGTTTAGACAAACAGTTTACACACTTGGCCTGTCAAGGGGATTTATTTTGTGCTGGGATACAGAATCCTTGTTTTACTTCTTCCTGTGAAGTGATGGCAAAGGTCTGTAAATGGATTTAATACCTTATAAACAAAGAGATGGAGATGAACAGCTCCCCAAAAATCCCTCTGTTTTGGATTATAAATTAATTAGGAGAACACTAATAAACAGAAATATTTATTTATAGAAAGAAGGTGGTTTAACTCTCAGATAAGAGTGTAAATCTACACAAAGCTGCTCAAATTCTCCCACAGGAGCAAAAATCTGGGGTTGAGCCCAGCTGCCTGTGACTTCAGACATGCACTTCACATCCACTTCCCCCAAATGTACCAAACACTCCATCAATCCCATCTTAATTCAGGTATTTCTGTGCTTACTCTCCAATGGTTATCCCTGTCTACAACTCCGACACTGAAAACTCTCTTCTGAGTTTATTTGTCACAAAACTGCTCTTATTTATTCCCTATGAGAATTATTTTTTATTTTTTTTATTCCTCCCTGGCATTTATCCTCAGCATTTTTATTTACTGCGAGCTGCACCGTTCCTCCCTCCCTTCCCATATCCCTTTATTTTGCCCGGCTCAACAAGTTGTGTTTCCTCAGAACCCTCTGCATTCATCTCCCAGCCCGCCGAGTTTCAATCATTTACATGTAATTTCAGATGTGTCTCACCAGTGGCTTGAAAAATGGCATAAATAGGGTGTCAGCACTACAGCAAATCTCTGCCCCAATCCATCCTGCTGCCTGTCCCTTCCCAGATGCATCATCCTGCTGCCAGCCCCAGACAGATCATTGCTCGCTCATCGTTAGCCGGTTTTAACTAATGAGTCATTTTGTTCCAGCCTGCTTGATCAATAGTTTATGTTCTCATTTCCTTTCCATCTCTGTCTCCACATGTATTCAGACACACACACACACACATATCGATTCCTGCAATGCTGGCAGAGCTGAAAGAAGGGAATATAAATATTGGAAAAGTTCATTTTTCCACGAACGTATGAATGCTTCTATTTTCATAACATTCGTTACAGGTGGATTTTAATTCCTTGGCCACGTATTAAACTTGTCACAGGAACCCTGAGGGGCGCAAGCCAGCAACATTCACTGTCAAAACATGAAACTTGTCTAGAAAACTCATCATGGAATCCCAAAATGGTTTGAGCTGGGAGGGACCTTAGAGCCCAGCCCATCCCACCCTCTGCCACGGGCAGGGACACCTTCCACCAGCCCAGGTTGCTCCAAGCCCCATCCAACCTGGCCTTGGACACTTCCAGGGATGGAGCAGCCACAGCTTCTCTGGGCAACCTGTGCCAGGGCCTCCCCACCCTCACAGGGAAGAACTGAAACCCAAAACTGAACCCAGTAAAGTTCTGGGATGATTTCTGTTTTCTCCACTAATATTTAACTTGTAATGAAGACATTTGGAAAGTACTCAAATATCTCTGGCAACTGGTATGGCTTCAATCTGGGACATCATCCAGAAAGGGGCACTAATATTGAATCACAAGATTCACATTTTTTGCCACAATAAATGAAAGTTAACTGGATATCCTATTACCTGCTCTCAATTAGTTTAGATTTAGGAGATTAAGAATTTGAAACACATTATTTTTTCAAAGTGCCTTTGCTTTTCTGGCTTATGGAGCAAATGCCAAGCTGCTTACAAAGGGATAATAACATAGAAGTGCTCGTTTTATCAATTACTTCCCAGTTAATGAATTAATAAATGTTTTTCAAACACACTTCCATAGTTTAGCTGTGTCAGTGTTTAGCATTAACACAATGCCAGTACAGATGTTTGTGGTAGAGAAGTTAAATTGATAACCAGAGAGCAAACGAGCCAATTACCATATAAAATAAGGTTTGCAAGGGAAGATCATGTGTTCTGTTATTAAACAATTAAACTTCAAAGACGACTTGGCAGCTCAGCCCCCTCTCCACGTTAGCAAACAACTACTGGAATGGCAAGATGCTGGCACAGAACTTCACACACCCCTAGAGAGCCCCTACCAGGAGTATCTGCCACCCTTTTGGAGAGCAAAGAGAAAAAATATTTTAATCACAACAGTGATCAAAAGAAGAAAGGAAAAAAACCAAAACAACAAAAACCAAACTACATCAGCAGTTGATTCAAACTTCTAAGCTACATCCCAATAAAGGTGAAATATTCAAAAATAAAATGTTTTTTTAAGCCAACTGGTCTAAAATGAAGAGAAAGGCTGAGGGACTACACATGTGCAACAGGAATTCAACCCAAAGTGACGTGGGAACAGGAGTGGATGCTGGACGTGGATCCCATTCCATGTGTACAGGTGATCAGAAGGAAATGGAGATGGATTCCAGTGCTCAGCAGCTCTTGCCTGTTCTCCCTCATTGAGGGAGAAATTCTGAGCCTTTCAGGGGGCACTTGAAATAATCTCCTGTCAGTTCAGCTTTCAGTGCTGCTGCGGATGAGACAGAAATTCAGGACATTCCTCCTCCCCATCTCCACAGGAGGAGCTTCCCTCCCAATCCCACAACCCCTGAGGGAAGAACCCAGGTCTGTGGTTTCCCAACCCCAAACCTGACACTTCAAGCTGAGCTGTAACTACACATGGAAAAGAAGAACTCACGTTCTTCATCATTAACTACTCACAACTTTCACCCTCCTTAGTTACAACACAGTGAACCTGCTCCTACACTACCCGAATCAGAACGCTGCTGTTCTAGATCAGAACTCATTTAATGCACATGAACCTTTCCCAAAAGTCAAATCCCCTCCCTGCTGTTCCCCAGAAGGAAAACCCCAAAGCAGAGACTCCTGGTATCAGACTTGAGCCACAAATCAAACCCTGCAGAGGCAGAGGGGACCCCAGGCAGGCAGGGCTGCTCAGACCACCCTGATGGGAGAAACATCTAAAAGTCTACAGCAATTTTTTAAAAAACTTCACCCAAACCAGAACTAGGCATTACTGTCCAGCTCTGCTCCCAGCACAGGAGCTGCCCCAGTGTCTCAGTTCCTCATGGATTTCAAACACTCTGTTGTGCATGAGGAGCACAGGAATGGTCTCATTTGCACACTACAGAAACAGGGGTTGCAAATATCCTTTAAAAAAAAAACTTATTCTCTCTCTAAAAAGCACTAATAAATAAATAAGCTGTTGGCTCAAGCACAGCATCAGACAAACCCAAAATAAATACAATCTACTAGTGAGTCCAAACACTTTAACAGTCACAGAATCACAGAATGGTTTTTGGACTGGGAGGGAAATTAAAGGTGACCAAGTTCCAATCTCTGCCATGGGCAGGGACACCTTCCACTGGACCAGGTTGCTCCAAGCCCCATCCAACCTGGCCTTGGACACTTCCAGGGATGGAGACACTTCCAGGACTATTCCTGTGCACTCTGAAGCAGCGTCAGAACTTCAGTAAGAGCCTGAGGCAGCCAAAGCACTGAAAGGCAACAACTGAATTTCCGAATAAAAATTGTCCAGGACAAGACTAAAGGAGCCATTTCTGCTTCCTCAGCCACCTACAAATGCCATCAATCCCTAAAAATTAGGAGTGTGTTTTCCAAAGTCACACAATTAAATCATAGTTCCCGTCACTTCTCCTCATCCCCTTCCCTCTACACTTTTGTCCACAACAAATATATCGTCAGCCATCAAATACAGAAGCATTTTCTAATTCCAAAAGTTTTCACAGACCCCAAACAGCAAGATAAACTGAGCAGACTGGATAAATTTCCATAATGTATCTCAAACAATCACAACTGAAGCATTCCTGGTGAAATGACTTCCATGTATAACCACATTTCTATGGATGCTGGGGGCAGAATCCCTATCTTGTATTTCAGTTAACAATTTG